GATTCTTAGGAAAAACAAAGAACTGTTTTCCCCCAAAAGAATAAGAAAAAAAACAAACAAACTGAGGCATGCGATCACTGAACCAGTTGTTACACCAGCAGCATCCCACCACTGAGTTTTTCCCACCGTGGTAAATTTTTGATAAATTTGGTAGATTTCATGGTAAATTTGAGAGCCAGTTTTGTGCAGTTATTAAGGCATTAGGCTAGAAACCAAGAGATCATGAGTCCTATTTCCACCTTAAGCAATGCCAACTGAGAGTCACTGACTTTCTCTCAGCCTTAGGAAGAAGGCAATGGCAAGCTACTTCCAAAAAGCCTTGCCAAGGAAACTGCAGGTCCCTTTGACTTAAAGGCACCAAATAATTACATTTCTTTGATTAATATTTTTTTTCAACCCACCAGAAAGATGATTCTACATATACAAATCCATAATTTTTCATTGTTAACACAGTAAAAAAGTCATTAAGAAAATACTGACTGAGCTAAGTTTCAGGAACAATAAAAATACTCAAGCTAATTATAATCTACCATTTGGAGTATATGAAAAGCCAAATTTGATCATATACTTGGAGGATGCTGTCTCTTTCTGCTGCTAAAGAGACTGGGTGTTAGATAGACTTTTTGTTCTTAATTTTTTTGGGGGGATACCCCAAAATCCAATGCTATTATTTACTTTGACATTGAAATAGAAATTATTTGATTAATTGGGAAAAAGATCTAAGTAGCACAATTAGAAGATAAGGTGGCATTTCATAGAAATCTTTGCAGAGTGTAGTTCACACTGAGACAGATTAACAGCAGCATTTTTTAAAAAATGTATTATTTCAGTAGAGAGCATTGACCATTACGTTGCTTCACTAAGTCAAATAGCTTCTGAGAAAAATATTATCTGAGATGGTAAGTCTAGAGCAGGGGTGTCAAACTCAAGGCCTGCAAGCCAGATTGGCTGGCGAGAGGTTTAGATCTGGCTTGTGGGGCCGCCCTAGAAATAGCAAAGGACCAGCCCACGGTGCCTCTGCCAGCAAAAACGAAGCTCAGGAGAGCCCCACATGGTCCTTGAAGGCTCTATTTTCAGGTGCGATGGCCTCCTGTCGCCCTCTGCCAGCAAAAACAGAGTCTGTGTATATGGGGGGGGTGCAGCCATTTTCTCTGGCAGAGGGTGGCAGGAGGCCATCGCAGCTGAAAATGGAGTTTGTGAGCCCGTTTTCGCCAGCAGAGCACTCGGGCCAGCACAGATGCCCCCGACATGAGTGATGTCAAGCTGGCCATGCCCATTCTGCCCCCCCCCGACATCAAACACAACCCTGATGTAGCTCTCAGTGAAATCAAGTTTGACATCCCTGGTCTAGAGTAAAACTGAAAACATCAGAGAATTTGAATGGCTGGGAATGCCAGCCCAAAGTAGTTGTTTTACTATCATGTTGATTTTATAAAAATGACAATGGATTATGCTTGGAAGCAGAATTCGGTCACGTATGTAGATTTAATACAAACTATATTGGCTTACTCAGGTTTGAATATGTTAGCATTTCATAATGTCTTGCCTTAAGCTGGTTCAAAAATCGCAAAGGAAAAGATAGAGTATTTGATCCTTGACACTTATAGTCAATTGTTTAGAGGAAGAAAAGTTTGGAATGCAGGGTGTATTTCAGGCCTATACTTGGTCATTAAACTTGTTTATTCAGCTTTCTACAAATATGCTTGACCCTTGGTTCCAGAGACAAGAATGGCAAAGATTACATTTGCAGAAGCTGCGTGGTATGCTAACTGAACACTTTGAGAAACTGATTTACAACAGTGGTTTCTCCTTGTTTAGAACATATTTAGAATATTGTAAGGTGCTGATTGTGAGACTGTTGAAGATCTTTTCTTGTTGCCCATCTGGGTTTTATATATGTTCGTATTATTCTGGTATTGAAAGGTTTGCATGGATTGGCATCTTTTTCCAGGTTTTATGCAAGATATTAATTTTAATATTTAGATAGCTTTACATAAGAGATGATCAACCTACTTTTGGTTTGGGTCTATACTTCTAGACTATATTTAACAGATGTTATGGAAAAGGAACAAGCTTTCCCAGATATGGCTAAGACTGCTCTGAAAGTGGATTTAAAAATGACAGGCTGCAAGAACAATATGGAAATACGATATTACAGTAGGAAATGACAGGCTGAGCCCAAGGGAAGGGTTAAATGCATAATCAGCCATGAGTCCTTTCACATCCACAAGAGATCTAAGCCCAGCCCACCTTGAATTCCTTTTACTCTTACCTAACCACAATTTGCTTTTTGCAGTATTTAATGGCAGTATCTCATTTATGCCCCCAAAACTGTAATTGTGTTGATTCTTAATCTTTACCTTCACAGTTTATGTAAAGCAACATACCAAGAACAAGGTGTATTTAGCATAGTGTTCATTTTGAGAAAGTGCAATGTATGAATGAGAAGGGAAAAAGAAATAAATGCAGAATACCAGAATTCCTAAAGTTGAAGACTGACAAATCTAGCTGCTAAATGTTGGTAATCCAAAGGGGCAACCACAGTGTAGTCTACTGATGGATGTCACTGGTAAATGTGGGTAACCCAAAGAGGTGACCCCAGAACGTAACTACTGACAAAATAGTTAAAGCTGGAAAAATATTTGCAGACTACAGGGTTGACCAATTATGTCTATTTAGTACTACAATGTAGTAGATGGCTAACCTTTTTGTCATCACGTGCCCAAAGTGCCTGTGTAAGCACGCGAGAACATGCACACGTGCCTGCACCCATAATGCAATGCATGCAGGACCCCCCACGCTCCCCCATCCCCTGCACATACGCACGGGCCCCTCCAACGCTCCCCCACCCCCCTGTGGCATGCGCACCATCTCCCACTTGCACCCCGCCCCCATGCATGCACGGCAGATACCCCAAAATCAACTGGTTGGTGGGAGGTGCGTGCACATGCGCAGTGGAACTGAGCTGGGGTGACGGCTCGTGTGCCTGCAGAAATGGCTCTGTGTGCCACTTCCGGCACGCGTGCCATAGATTTGTCATCATGGTAGTAGACTATTAACTATGACTAACATATGTAGAAAAAGGGTTTACTACAAGATGACTGTCGTAGAAATAAGAGAGAGATTGTATTAAAGACAATTCAGCTCCAAGTAATACATGTCAAGGCCATATACAAACCCTGGCAAAACAGTGGCTGGGTAAGTGGAAGAGAAAACATGAAAACAAATCTTAATAATACACAATTTTATTCATAATTGATCATTTTGATTGTAGTTTTGAATAGTGAGGGTTTTTTTTTAGGAATGATTGAAATGTTTCTGATCATATACTATTTAAAGTTGTCATCTCATGTCAAATGCAACTTGAAAAGTTAGTTTGGATTAGGAATACATAATCTCTTTGGGATTAGCAGGCATATTTCACTGACAAAAGTAACATTTTGAGAAGACAAACATTGAGGTTGTTCTCTGGTCTTTAAAGTGCCTTGTGATTCTCTAATCACCCCAATTTACTTTTGTCTTCTGTCTGGGTGAATGGGTACTCTTCCAGGCAGAGCATTCAACTGCAGCCACCCATCATATCTAGTTTTCTTATAAACTATACAACATTTGTGGTCCAGAAACCTCTTGTAAATAAATATGGTAGATATAGATATGTAGATGTTGATTATAGACAGACAGATAAAGTTGATGAGGCATCCAATAAATATTTGCAAACACACTGGGAATGAAGATGAGGTCTATTCAGTAATGCATGTATTACTCAACTGAAAATCAATAAAATCAGGCATCTCTTCCATGTTAATTCACTCTACCATCTGCAACTATCCAGGAAAAGTGGAATATTCCATGCTTTGCTTATCGCTATCTTTCAGGAACTTGGTGATAATCCACAATGCATGGAACTCATTAAGAAGATTCAAGCCTTTTGTCTTTTCAGCTTTTGTATGGATTTATTTTCTCCAAGCTAAAGTTTAACAGTAATTTATTCAACTAAGCGTGGGTGGTACAAAAGTCACATTTTCCAAGGGCCCAGAAATGGAAAACCATAATGACATAAAACCAACTTTACCACAAATACTACACCAAAAAGGGTGGACCATCACTGTATAATTTTGAAAGTTACAATAGTGTGATATATGCTGCAGAGGATTATAATTACTTAGGAAAACCAAATTACTGCAATTAAGCATTAACGTAACTGCTGTATTTATTCAGAAATAAAGACCTTCCACAAGTGAACACAATTAAACAGCCTGCTTACTATATATTGAGCTCATTAAATCAATAAAATATCCAGGGGTTTATGAAAAAAATCATAAAGAATATGAGCAAAAGAAGAAGAAGCTCTTTACCCTTTAGGAAGAAATCTGCTAGTTACTGTCTGCCTTTGGAAACATTTATTATCCATCCCCTGCCCAACCTCCTTGCTTGCTTTGCCCATGCATTTCAGTAGACCACAACATTCTAAATAATTATGACTATTTTAATTTCCTCTGTTCCAGCTACATCTTGAATTTCACCACACTGCTCTCTTTTAAGAAATCCTCAAGAACATAACATCCGTAAATGGAAAGACCACATGTTTTTTTGGCAATCTATCCAGTGACAAGGCACTATTTTACTTCTGGGCACTTCACTGGGCACAAGTTCATCCGATTGTTTAGCTTGGTTTAGTAACAAACCCAAGTTGAAATCAACAAGTTTACTTTGATGCACACTGTAATCTCATCTGTCTAGAGAACGTTCACTTGCAAATCAGTCTTCTCTTAACTCCCTCCCCTCGTTAACTTTTGGGGTGTGACATCACAGGCATTGGTATTAAAAGCATATAGGTTGTAATAAAGGCAGCTTAACTGAGCAAAAACCGACTCCAAAAGAGACGGACCGAAAGAAGTCAGAGCATGCATTGCGTCGTTCTGGGAAAATCTTAAAAGGGGGATATTGTTCACAACTTAGCTTCAGTGAAAGCTTGATAAATTAGAAAAAGCTGGACATACCTGTTATTCCCACCCAAGGGATGGAGACACGTGTGATGCTGCAGATGGCAGTGAGGGAGCCAAATCCCATGGCTGAAGTGTAACAGGAAACCTTGTGGGGAAAGAAGCTGAAGCTGGAATAGAAGTCCTGTTGCTCACAAGACTCTTCTGCTGCTTCTGGTCCCCTTCTGTATCAGCAGCCGCTGCTGATTGAACCAGGCATTTCCTGTTTGTTGTCCAAGCCCCCCCCCCCCCCCAACACATGAAGATGAATGGTTCCCTCCTCTAATAAGCCCCCCTCCTTCCGTTGTCCCAAGTAAGCTCTGAGCCTTTGAAACCCCCATGCGGCAAGAGCTCAGAGTTAGGAGTCATGTACAAATAAAGTCAGATATTTAACAGCCAGTGTTTAGGCTCAAGTCTGCAGGCTAGCAAAGCAAACCTTAAAGGGATATCTGCGTTCTTATAATTTATGGGCATCTTTAGCTACTAAGCAACCTCTGCAAATACAGTTAAAAGGCAAGTTTGGTTTTCTTTTTGCTTCAAACTTCCTTTTTTTTAAAAAAAATGCATTTCTAAATGCTCTTTTTCTCAAGAAACAAAGCTGTATAGTATACTCACACTATGAGTATAGTGTGTTAAAACTTCAAGATGCATTCAAATGTCAAACTGCCCTTGGTTGGTTGAATTTTATTCCACTTACATCATTCTTTTAAAATGCCCCTGTTCAACCTAAAGCAAGACTTTGTGCAAGAGTTGTGGGTGGGGTTGACTTCATGAACATTTTCTCAAGATTCTAATTTTGTGGGGTGGTAACTGCAGTTTTGGTGTGCTTTGTAGTTAGGATGTGTAGACCTTGGTCTAGGCTGGCTGGGCAATTCTGGGAGTTGAAGTCTGGACGTCTTCGAGTTGCTAAGGTTGACAAATGCTGCCATAGTTCATTTTTAGGTTTGTACAAATTGCTTAATTTTTTTCTTCTCATCCAGTCCTTAATCCAGTCGCTTCCTTTTACTCTCAGTTAACCAATCAATAGTTGGAAAAAAATGGTGGCAAGATAAAATGACACACCAAATAATGAAATTATTCTAGATTTTTATTTTCTCATTTTTTTTCCTATTCTGAACAGAGGAAGAGAAATGACCAGAAACACAGGTAGTCCTCAACTTACAAACTTAATTGAGCCCAACATTTCTGTTGCTAAGTGAAACATTAAGTGAATTTATCCCATTTTGTGACCTTTCTTGCCATGGTTGTTAAATGAATCACTGCAGTTGTTACTAACACAGTTCTTAAGTATATCTGGTTTCTCCATTGACTTTGCTTGTCAAAAGTTTGCAAAAGGTGATCACATGACTCCAGGACACTGCAACGATCATAAATATGAGTCAGTTGCCAAGCATCTGAATTTTGATCACATGATCATGGGGATGCTGCAACTGTTGTAATTGTGAAAAATGGTCATAAGTCACTTGCCTTGTAACTTTGACCTATCACTAAATGAATGTTGTAAGTCAAGGACCACCTGTATTTGATTTACACAGCAAGAGTTTTGTGAGTATCCAAAGAGATTCCTTCCCTCCAATTTTTCACTCAGTTATCTAAATTTTAGATCGACTGAGTCAGACTTACAAGAACGGCATGCTTGTTGAAGGAGGGCTTTGTTTATAAATTAATATAGTGAATAGTTATAAATTAATGTTGGTGAAATCACAGTATATTTTGATGAACATACAGGAAATCCTTGACACAAGAACATAATGGAATTTGCCCATTAAAGTTACAAGTTGGGAAGGTTGTTACATGAGTTGTCCATGTGATTGCCTAATTTAATGACCCCCATCCTTGCTCTCCACAATGTCCACAGGGTCCCTTGGGGGTCGGGGTGGCCCTGGGAGGTCTAGCGCAGGCTCAGGTTCACCTGCCCTGGATCTCCCAAGGCTTCCCCCATCCCCAGAAAAACCCCATGCTCTTTTTCCTACATCTCAGGTGACCCCCCCCCCCCCCACAGGCCTGAAGCTTGGTTTTCTCTTCCCACCAGATCCCTGCAGACCTTACAACTTTTGAAACTAGTTGTAAGTCAAGGAGTATGTATTATTTCACTTAGAAATCGGATGCTCACACAAGTACAATTCAACAATCTGCAGTGCAGAACTTTTTTTTTTTTTTTATAAGTTTTTATTATTTTTTTAACATAAAAAACACAACAACAAAACATAAAAGTATCAGCTCCCCCATATTTTTGTACACACAGTAAGTCGGTTGGTCCATCGGTTTTGTGCATTCACCTCATAGTCACAATTACAGTTACTTTATATAATACTCTTATCAATACAAATTTATAAATCCTAGTATCGCTATTAAAGAAAAAAAAAAATTTGACTAAACTTTTATTCGGTCATGCCTTTATGAGATAACTATATTTTAAATATTTTATTCTAAAACAAATCTTATAATCATACCAATTCTATCCCAAATATGAAAAAGAAAGAAACAAAGAAAACTATTATATAGATATAGTATCAAAAACCAATAAAAAGAAAGGGAAAATAAAGTCATTATTATTCCTTATTATCTAACTTTTATATTTTAATATTTCATCATTCAACCATTGATAGAAAAGATCCCAAACTAAATAAAATTGTTTATCTTCTTGCTCTCTAATTTCAAAAGTCAATCTACTCATCTCAGCACATTCCAAAATTTTCTTTACAACTTCTTCTTGCAATGGAATTTTCTCATTTTTCCAATTTTTTGCAAATACAATCCTAGCAGCAGTCAATACATTTACAATCAAATATTTCAACTCTTTACTATAAGTATCTGGTAGTATTCCCAATAGAAAAAACTCCGGTTTCAAGTCTATATGCTTCTTTGTCATTTTTTCCAGCCACATGTGAATTTTAGTCCAATATTTTCTAGCATCCTCACAAGTCCACCACATGTGATAGTATGAACCAGGTTTCTGATGACATTTCCAGCATTTTTCGGATTTATTCTTGAACATTCTTGCTATCCTTGTCGGGGGAAAATGCCACCTGTAAAACATCTTATACAAGTTTTCTTTATAGGCTGTAGACATTGTCATTTTATAATTTTGCGACCATAATTTCTGCCATTTCTCTAAATCAATCCCATATCCAAAATTCCTCCCCCACGCAATCATAGTTTCTTTAACTTGTTCTTCCTCAAGCTTAATTTGCAATAAATAACCATACAATTTTTTAATCATCTTTTCATCAGTACCCATCAAAATCTTATCCAAGTCAGTTTGCTTATCATAAAATCCCTCTGCTTTGGAATCCTCATAGTACTTTGAATGAATTTGCAAATATGAAAACCAATTCATCTGTATACCTTGTTCTTCCAATTTTTGCATCGATTTAAGTTCACCCTTTTCATCTAATAATTCCCCATAGTTAACTGTTTGTTCCTTTTTATAAATTATAGGATAAGAAAACGCTTCTATCGTCGATAACCAAACTGGAATTTTCAAATAACACTGTTTTTTTATCTTCTCCCAATTCAACCACAGAGACTCCCGTATATAATGTCTTCTAAAATACCCCTGTGTTTTAGTTCCCTTGTACCATAAAAAAGCATGCCAGCCCAACAACAAATCATGACCTTCTAATGTCAACAATCTGGTTTTCCTTAATGTTATCCATTCTTTGACCCACGTCAAGTTTGCAGCTTGATAGTACAACTCCCAATTAGGCAGACCAAACCCTCCTCTAAATCTAGCATCCTGTAAAAGCTTTAACTTTATTCTTGCTTTCTTGCCTTGCCATATATACTTCAAAACAATTTTATTTAAATCCTCAAAATATTCTTTTCCAAGCCTAATTGGTATTGTTTGAAACAAAAATAAGACTCTGGGTAAAATGTTCATCTTGATTGTTGAAATCCTTCCTATTAATGACAATTGTAAGTTCTCCCATTTTTTCAAATCTTGAGCTATCTGTTGTTTAAGTTTAATATAATTATTCTCCTTCAATGTACTACATCTTGATGTCAAATATATCCCCAGATACTTAACCTTGTTTGTAACTTGAATTTTTAACAGTTCTGCCAACTCTTCCCTTTGTTTCAGCAACATATTCTTTGACAAAATCTTTGTTTTATCTCTATTTATTTTCAAACCAGCCACCTCCCCATAGACCTCTATCTTTTCCAACAGTTTCGAGGCTGTTTCTATAGGGTCTTCCAAGATAAAGACTAGGTCATCTGCAAAGGCTTGTAGTTTAAATTCTTTATTTAGAGATAATGGGTATGCAGTGCAGAACTTTTACAGAGGTCAAGGTCTAGTATACACAAAGATTTCTCTTCTGAATTCAAGCCCTGATAGATTAGGGGTTAAGTTGCTAAACACCTGCATTCACAGCTATGTACGCAAAGGCTTCCCATATGCAAACGTATGAAATTTGTGGATGACTGAAGTCCTCGTATGATGTTACAAGAAGCAGGGGCCGTTTACCACTGTGTGGTAAAAGTTCTAAGTGTGCCTTATTTGTTGGGGAAACAAATGATTGATTGTATTGGGCTGCTAAAAGCTTACTCTGCTTATAAACGTTTATTGTCATTGCACAAATAGAAGCTGATATTGTTGGCCTGTCATGTTAAAATGATTAGAGGTTTTCCTATACTGTTTTTGATGATAGCTGGAAAACTAATGTTTTTGGTAGCTTGAAATCCCTGTGTAAATTGGAATGCAGTGTTGAGAAGTCTCATTGTGGGAAAGTAGAAAGAATAAAGAGCTGTAAACTAGCTTCACCTGAATTTTTTCTCTTCCATTCAATCACATATGATTCTCGGAGACTAACTAAACAAGTCCAGGCAGTTTTCTTGACAAGATTTTTCAGAAGTTATTGTTGCCATTGCTTCCATTTTAGGGCTGAGAGAAAGTGACTGGCCCAAGGTCACCCAGCTGCCTTTACTCAGCTGAATTGCCTGTTGTTATCTGCAGATTTTATCTCCAGCTACCAATTTTCATAGTATTGTAGGAATTTGTTTGCTATGTGTGCAAATATTTACAAGTAATGCCTAATCTTTGAAGAGAGATGATACACTAAATCTCCAATGTTCTCTCATTCAAATGAGGTAACGTATGGACACATAACAGTATTCTAGACTTTTCGTCTTTGAAGATTGTGGAAAAGAAATTTAAGATGGAATATT